CATTAGAAAGATCAATCAAGAGGAAGGCCAAAAAAAAAAAAAAAAAAAAAAAAAAAAAAAAAAAAAAAAAAGGGGGGGGAAACCAGAACTGCAGATGAAGAACAGTCACCAATTCTTGGAAGCTTTTCTTCATCATCATCGTTATCTGATCATCATGATCAATCCTATGAACTTGTGAAGAGAACAGGTAATATTCCACTTCGACCCCATTATTACTAGTTCCTTCTAGTTTTCTCCTCATAACAAATATAACTATCTTCATCTTCTCATACCATCTTAATTCTCCACATGAACAATTTTCTTGTATTTTTTCCTTGTAAAAATCACCAACTTGTTTTAGAGTTTGATGAAGATTTTATGCTCTAGAATTTTAGAGAGAGAGAGAGAGAGAGAGAGAGAATATAACTATCTTCATCTTCTCATACCATCTTAATTCTCCACATGGACAATTTTCTTGTATTTTTTCCTTGTAATAATCACCAACTTGTTTTAGAGTTTGATGAAGATTTTATGCTCTAGAATTTTAGAGAGAGAGAGAATATAACTATCTTCATCTTCTCATACCATCTTAATTCTCCACATGGACAATTTTCTTGTATTTTTTCCTTGTAATTTATGCTCTAGAATTAGAGAGAGAGAGAGAGAGAGAGAGAGAGAGAGGACAATTTTCTTGTATTTTTTCCTTGTAATTTATGCTCTAGAATTAGAGAGAGAGAGAGAGAGATATATCAATTTGTCAAGTCTTTGTTTCCTTAGATGATTCCAACTGGCTTGTCCAAAAATATCTATACATGCAATTGTGGTGTTTTTTTTTTTTTTTTTTTTTTTTTTTCAACCTTTCTAGACCCACTCCAATAGCTACAAAACTTTCTTCTTGTTTTTTTTTTTTTTTTTTTTTTTCACTTAAGTCCCTCATGTGGAAAGAGTAGTCAATTTTTTCAACCACTTCTTTTAATTTGGTGAATGGGAATTGCTTGTGGTAAAAAAGGAACTACAAGGACTGCAGTGGCACATATAATAGCAGGAGTGATAGGATCAGGCGTGTTATCCCTTTCATGGAGTGTGGCTCAATTAGGATGGATCGCCGGCCCGTCGTCGATGATCGCCTTCGCCGTTGTTACCCTTGTTTCCACAAATCTTCTCAGTGACTGCTACAGATTCCCCGACCCCCAATTCGGGCACGCTCGTTGCCCTTCCTACGCGGAGGCCGTCAAGTTGTACTTGGGTGAGAACTACTCTTTAATTTTGAGCAGTGCTATATATTACTGCGTCTTTTTAACCGATCACAAAAATCCACATAATAACTCTGAAATTGCCCCCTAAAGTATAGTTTCACACGGTTACATGCATTTCATTCTTTAATTGGATAAAAAAATTCCACATTGTGCTTATATGATGTGGAACTCAATCAGGAATGATATATTCTTCTATATGTTGTTGTCATTGGCAATCTCCATTATAATTAATTAATTTAAGTCCTTAAAAGAAAACCGTTACCCATATAGTTGGGTGGTAAGACTGTTCATTCTTCCCACAAATTTAGCTTGCAGAATCATGCCAACAAGCATCAAATCATATCAAAACACAACAGTTAAAAATGTTTCGGTAAAATTAGTACTAGAATGGATGACATCATGGGGCTATCACAGAGGAACAGGTTTTTTCTTGGGCAAAATATATATTATGTTATTATTGTTAGTTCACCTCTTAATAGTTTAAGTTTTTTAGATGGATTGATAAATTAATATGGTATCAAAGCGGAAGGTCATGAGTTTAAAACTCTCGTAATTGTACTTTTTATCTCCATTTAAATTGTTATTATGTGTTAGGTCTTTAATATATCTCGAACTTAAATATTTACATGATGGATTTTCTAATTAATTTACTCACATAATTACTTATTATTCAACTCACACGTGAGAGAGAATATTAAAATATAAAATTATTATTAACTCACCTCTTAATAACTTAAATTTTTAAGATGAATTAATAAATTAACGTTATATATATTTATATATAGGGGACTCGTACTATTTTGGTTGCATTGATGGAGAGGAAAGAGGGAGGACCAGCAGCCTCTTTTATCCGACCCCACCACTAATTTCCAACTCACACGTGAGAGAGAATATTAAAATATAAAATTATTATTAACTCACCTCTTAATAACTTAAATTTTTAAGATGAATTAGTAAATTAACGTTATATATATTTATATATAGGGGACTCGTACTATTTTGGTTGCATTGATGGAGATGAAAGAGGGAGGACCAGCAGCCTCTTTTATCCGACCCCACCACTAATTTAAGTCTGGCTTCTTCTGTAAAATTGTTTTGGCTGGCCTAAATTTGTTTTTTGTTTGTTTTTTTTTTTTTCACTGCAAAACAAAAGGGGAAATATGATATGGATTGTAGATGTAGAAGCATCAAACTAATACAGCAGATTTTTGACTATATGTGTGTGTATATATATATATATATATATGTATATATATACATACACGTGCATATGTATGTGGGCTTTTATAGGAGAGAAATGGCAGTACGTGAGTGGAGCATTTGCATATGAGAGCTTATATGGTTGTGGGATTGCTTATACCTTTACATCCGCCAGTAGCATCAGGTAATATATGTTCCTCACCAACACTAAATTTTTTTTTTTTTTTTTTTTTTTTGGGTTCCATCAGGTAATATATGTTCCTCACCAACACTTAATTTTTTTTTTTTTTTTTTTGGGTTCTTCTAATATGTTGTATTACCTTATATTTGACAAAAGTAATTCTAAATCAGTTCAAAAGAGTGATTGCTTGTTTATCTAAGCATGGTGCATGTGATGTGCCAAAAGAGAATCGCTGAAGTTACTCTTAAAGAGTACGGGTCTATATTTTTACCTTTTATTTTGACGAAAAAAATATTAATTATGGGTATTTGTTTTATGTAAATTCATTTTTGTACGAGTTTGGGCCTTTAGGCTTGTTTGTCGCTTGCATTGGGCCAAGACCTATCATGTAGCATGACAACATGATGGAGGCCCATTAATATTGGCCCTAATTTAGGGAGAAAGAAGGAAATAGACCAAGATTTGAGATGAATTAAAATTAATAAGTCAATAGTGTACATAAGTTAATAAATAGGCTAAATTACTGTTTTTGTCCATAACTTATCTGGTTATGAACCATAACTTGACAAGTTATTCTCGATTTTTGTCCATAACTTGTCTGACTATGAACCATAACTTGACAAGTTTGTCTATAACTTATCTAGTTATGAACCATAACTTGATAAGTTATGACGTATTAATTTCTATAACTAAAAGTTAGCCTATATACTTTCTTAAGCTTTCATATTGGCCTATTTCCTACTATTTCTCCCTAATCTATTAACATCGGGCCTATAGGCTTGGGTCACAAAAATCTTGTCCGTAAAGCCCGTCAGGCCGAGAGATAGACATGATGAATCGCATTATTGTTGGCCTAACCTATTCACATAAGGCTATTAGTTTGGGCCATGAAAACTCTTGTCCGGCAAAGCGGTCCTGCGCATTAACGTTGATGATACATCACCGCACATGCGATAATAAGGACAAAATAAAGTTGTTACAACCGAGTCCCGCGCTGTTATGCGACAAGTCAATCGTGACGATTTTGCGTTCGTTAAGAAAGTAGCAAAAGAAGTTTTGTCGACGAAAAAAGGTTGTTTAACAAAAAGATAGAGAAAAGGTATGAGTAAGTGGAAAGGTATACAAATGGTTGGATCTCCTGAAGTTGGAAAAAAATAGGGAGAAAAAAAGAAAAAAGAAGACAAAAGCAATGAATGGACCTTTGTGGGAGCAATAATGTCTCTTGAATCTCCTAGCGAGTAGAAGAAAGAGTATTTTGATTCTGAGATCTACCCATACTTTAGTAGATTCTGACATGTCAGGGATGAAGCTCATGGCCACACCACAGGATTTGTAGAACTTAAGGCCTCATTCATTTCACCGATTCGAGTTTTCAGTTTTAAGTTTTTACAGTAAAAAGCTCTAAGAAAATATCACATCTAACTTTTTCTGCCACGGTGAAAAGCTCTCAGAAAATGTCACATTTCAACTCAAATTGAAAACTCGAATTTGCGAAGTGAACGAGGCCTAAGTTCTAATAACGAAAGAGGATAGACGCGCACTCGCGGAAAAAGAAGAAGACGACGACGAAAGGGACGAAACCTCACTATGTTAGTGTCATGTGTCATTTTCCATCATTTCTTAACGGAATGACTTTAATGGGATAATTTTGTAGATAGAAATTAATCGTAGAGTGTTTTGAATGTCAGGTACCAACAAAATAAGATTAGCTTAAAGAGAAAGACGTATACGATATCTAAGGATGATAGAACTAGAATCTAACTTTCTAGCTATTGTTTTTTTCTACTTTTTTCTTTTTAAGGAGCAAATTGGTGCAGCAACTTTCTGGTATTTGAACGGTACATCACTAGCTTCAAATGATAAAATTAGGAACAAAAATCGACCCTTGTTTTCTTCTGTTTTACTTTGTTAATAGAAGAGGACTAACCAACCACCCACTATGTAAGTAAAAGTGTGTAAGAAAGTGCCAATTCATTGAAGAAAATTCAAGTGCACAAGAAAATTCCAATATGAATATGACATAAGATTCCTTTATGACTGTAAAATTTGGCAGTGTCTTAGACCATTTTTCTTTAGTAATGATTCCAAAATTCATAGGCAATTATAAGCATAATTGGCCTCATCAACAACCTATATATAAAGTCTTTCTTTCTAACTTCAAGAACCATGGGATTTAGGAGGTTTTGGTTTCTTTTTAATCTTATTTTTTTCCCTCCATTAAATTCAACAACTTGGCCAGATTCTGGTATCCTAGAGATGCCAAAATGAAGATGACACCACCCCATTTCTCAATTATTGGATAGACTTTATTACTCCATTGAAGATACATACTTGTGCATCTATATATTTATATATATGTATATGTATATATATATATATGAACACACACACACACACACACATGTATTTTCCATAGCTACCCTTTTAAAAGCTTTTTGTCTTCAAGAACCTTGATCATGGTTTTAAAGAAAGGCCTGCACTAGTTGAAGTACTACACTCAACATCAACACTCACTACCCTTAATTAACTCTTATTTTAGGGTAATTATTGATTAGGTAAGTTTCTTGACTAAGCAAGTCTTTTTAATTTTTTGTTGCAATTTTCCTCGTGACTTAAATCCACTGAAGCAGATAAGTCCTTTTATAATTGAGGACAAACACATGTCCACATGCGCATGCAAATAATTGTTAGGACACAACAACTAAAGAAATAATTGTTAGGATGTCTTTTACTCGGACAAACTTTCCATCACCCACGTGAATTTTATCTGGTGACACAAATCTGTTATAGTTTATTAGACTTTGGAAAAAGAGAGAAAAATTAAATGGCAAAACAACAAAACCCTTTATGTGACAATACTCCATACACAGATATAGCTAGCTGCAAAAAAACTGATTCTATGGCAGTCCAACAATCTCTTGAACTAGCTAGTAGTGGATCCTGCAACGACGACGTCGATGGAAAACTCGTAATTCGAGATGGTAAAGTACTTTTCGAGGTCTCTCTCTCTATCTGTGTGTGATATAACTGAGATGAAAATCATGGCAAGTTGATATAATGATATTGAGCAGGAACATTGTTCAGTTGTGTGGCTCATATCATCACCGCGGTTATTGGCGCTGGGGTGCTGTCTCTGGCGTGGAGTACGTCTCAGTTGGGATGGATCGGAGGGCCAGTTGCTCTGCTTTGCTTTGCCATAATCACCTACGTCTCTTCCTCCCTCCTTTCTGATTGTTACAGGTCACCTGACTCTGTCACTGGGAAGAGAAACCGCTCGTATATCGAAGCAGTGAGAGTGAATCTCGGTAGCGAAACTCTTCTTGTTCTCCAGCTTCTTCTTCTTTATGGTGTTCAAAATTAGGACATGTTAAGGAAGTCGATAATGTTTGTTTCATGTATTTGTCTCTGATTCTGAATCATGAATGGTTCTCTACTGTGTTTTTCTCTCATAAAAAACACACATAAAACGATAATAGTTCTGAATCATGATTCTAAATACATGAACCAAACGTCCATTTATAGATTGGAATAGTGGCTAGTTTGATGTGTGGTTTGTTAATTTATAAGTTCAGGTGAAACTCATACATGGGTTTGTGGTTTGCTCCAATATTTGAGCTTGTGCGGGGCAGGTATTGCCTATGTCATTACCACTGCAACAAGTATGAGGTACTTCCCCTCTAGTTGCAGCATTAATTTTCTTTTCTTTTCTAATAAGGATTGAAGTTTGAGATCATAGCGCTCTCTCTCTCTCTCTCTCTCTCTATATATATATAAATATATATATATATATACATATGTACACATTTGTTATGACTTGATCAACTTTTTTCTCATCAGATTTTGTTTTGTTTTCGTTCGGGAAAATTAAGCCCTTATAACAAGTTACTCTTCGAATTTCGAAACGTATAATAAGTGTCCTTGGTCTTTTGACAAGTTTCAAGAACGGTTCTTATGTCTAGACGAAAAGTGACACATGGCACCAAACTAGGGGAACAACTTGTTTTGTGTAGGCATTAGATTAGGTTTTTGACTCATTTGTTTGTTTTCGATTGCAGAGCAATTCAGAGATCGAATTGTTATCACGAAAAGGGGCATCAGGCCGCATGTTCATATGGGGATAGTCTGTACATGTTGCTATTCGGGGCTCTCCAGATTGTGGTGTCACAGATACCAGATTTCCACAACATGGAATGGCTTTCTGTTGTAGCTGCAATCATGTCCTTTACCTATGCTTTTATTGGATTTGGGCTTGGCTTTGCAAAAGTCATAGGTAAGTCTAAAGTCTTAAATCCCCACTTCTTGTAGCAACATGTACAATGCAAAGAGTTAATATACATGTTTTCTTATAAATAAATAAACATTGATGAACAAAACTTAATAGATTGGATTGTGGTCATATAGGTGCATGGCTTTGTCTATACTTTTACGAAGAAGAAGAGAAGTAAAAGTTAAAGTTATGACTTTTAAGTTAGTTTTTAAAACCACATTTTAAACGAATTTAATAACGCTAAAAAGATATGTAAATTTTTAATAAGCAATCAAAACATTAGAATGAAATTTATAGAATCTTATCAAAATCCGTATACAAGTTTTAAAGTTTCCTCAGAAGAGCTTTTTTGAGAAGCCACGTTTTATAGCATCGACTCGAATCACCTTTGATGGACCAAATTAAGCTCTTTTGAAAAGTTATCCAAATACTCTTTAGAGGAAACTTTTTCGACCCGTAAAACTAAAGCAGAAGTCTTGTCAAATAGGCCCTTAACACTTTTTTGTAATTGCAGAAAATGGAGAAATTCATGGGAGCATTACTGGAGTTCCAGCCTCAAGTGTAGCCAACAAATTATGGTTATGCTTCCAAGCACTTGGGGACATTGCTTTTGCCTATCCATACTCCATTATCCTTCTTGAGATTCAGGTTAAAATGGCTTAACTTAAAACTCAAGTAACAGAAAAAAATTTCGAGTTTAAGCATAAAGTTAAAGCATGAGATTCTTTTTTTTTTTTTTTTTTTTTTTTTGAACGAAGGACACGTTGAAATCCCCTCCAGCAGAAAACAAGACCATGAAGAAGGCTTCTATGATTGCAATATTCGTAACGACATTTTTCTACCTCTGCTGTGGATGCTTCGGATACGCGGCTTTCGGGAATAACACGCCCGGAAACCTCTTGACAGGATTCGGATTCTATGAACCTTACTGGCTTATAGATTTTGCTAATGCTTGCATTGTTCTGCATTTGGTGGGAGGATATCAGGTAACACCGCTAATCTTATCTTAATCTTAATTTTATTATTAAGACTATATTTCAATACCATTTATCACCATTGGTAATCCTCACCACACATTTTAACAAATCGCGGATTCGAACACAACTCTTTAGTCCACATATTATGACTTGAGAGCTACACAGTCTTACATGTCAATCTCTAATTACTAACGATTCTCACAATCGGTCATAATTAGCAGTTTTCTTATGAAAAATAAGGTCTTCAACAATATCTTTCATATTCAAGTAGTGATTCATACAATGATTTTCTAAATTGTATTGCTGTAAAGTCTTACATGTCAATCAAAACTAGCGATGATGATCATTACAGGTGATAATTAGCGTTTTCCTAACCGAAACCAATTCTTTAACCATCTTCCAAATGGTTTGTGTGTGTGTTAGATTTACAGCCAGCCAGTGTTCGCAGTTGTTGAGAGATGGTTAGGAAAGAAATTTCCAAACAGTGGATTTGTGAACAATTTCTACAATCTCAAGTTGCCATTTTTGCCACCAGTTCAGCTAAATCCCTTGAGACTGTGCTTCAGAACTGCTTATGTAGTTTCCACAACTGGGATTGCAGTGCTATTTCCTTATTTCAACCAAGTTTTGGGAGTTTTAGGGGCTCTAAACTTTTGGCCTCTAGCTATATATTTCCCTGTGGAAATGTACTTCATACAAAAGAAAATAAGGCCTTGGACTAGAAAATGGTTTGTTCTTAGGACTTTAAGCTTTGTTTGCCTTCTTGTCACTGTTGTGGGCTTGATTGGGTCATTTGAAGGACTTATAAGTGCTAAATTAAGTTAGAGGTATTTAATAATTTGATGTGATATATATTTATATATATATATATTGTATAATTATTCATCAATGAAAGTACACTTATTGTAATTGTAGCACAAAAATGAAAAGAACATAAAATTTATATCTAGTGTAAATTCAAAAGCTAGAGTTTATTTGAATGTAAAGTTTGAACCAAATTGAATCATGTATAAATAGAGTGTAAAGTTGTAGAGTTCGATGACCAATTGTTTGTAGGTTAACAATATGGTGTAATTACGTTTAAATTATTTCTTTATTTTTTTATACTAAAAGGTATCCTTAGATTTTAGAAATATGCTTTAATTTCACCCCTCACAAACTTTTTGGACAATAAATGAAACTAAAGGATAAAAATACCCTTAAATAATAATATTTTAACATTAATTAAAGAAAATATAAAACGTAAAACAGTATAAAAAAAAACAAAGCATATCTGCCGATCATTTTTTTAAGGAAAATATAAATTTTTCTTAGAACATTTCAGAAACTAAGGATGTTTTTATATTTTCGCCATTTTTCTATCCAAATGGTGCAGGAGAAATAAAATTGAAATATATTGTTCAAATTCAAAAGATATTTTTGTTCATTTTATGTAATGAAGGGACACTGTGGCAGCTGAAAAATGACGAGGTCGTAGAAACATAAATGTTCTACTAAAGAACATCAACCAGAAAACGACAACTTCTAAATCAACAACGTCGGCTTAAGAAACACCAAAGTCACGAAATCAAATTTGGATTAACAAGAAATAACCGACACTAACGTCAGAATGAGTCAGAATAACCTCAAAAGTCAAAACAACAACCATCAGAAAACACACACGACAATAATATTAAAAAAGAATTTTTACGGTGGAGTATTGCCATTTTGCTCTACTCGTAATAATAATTGTTTCTAATTGTTAATTTAATTTTTTTAACCATTAAATCTATATAAAGTCGTATTAAAAATTTATAATGCATAACATAAAAATATTTCTATTGTATATCAACCGTTAAAAAGATTAATCCAATAATAAAAACACAGCCCCTACTTATTAGCAACATAGCATGCACGACGATGAAGACTCCAATTAAAAATCCATTAACTAAAAAACTACAAGGCGAAAAACGACATGAACATAAAACGACAACAATGTGAGTAAACAAACATAAAGTATGACAATAGTAAAGAAAGACTAATTGAAACCACATCATTATTAAGTAAGCAAAAAGGTTAATAACGGCGTCAATCTAAAACGAAAAACACTAAGGTCTCGTTCATTTTATCAATTTGAGTTTTTAATTTCAATTTTATTATTATTAAAAGCTCTCAGAAACAGTCACATTTAACTTTTTGGTACAGTTAAAAGCTCTAACTGTCACGCTCCCAAACATGAGTTAGCGAGGTAGAGGCTTGTTTAGAAATTTAACACAAATTAAGTAAGTAATTAAGCTAAAGTCAAAGTCAAAGATAGTGTATATATATCTATATATAAGAATTTTTAAACAAACCCCACTATTTTAAGGAAATTGAGTTTTAGAAAACAGTGAGGCGGACTTTACAAAAACTACAATCAGAGTTAAATCAATTTCAAAAGTCAGCATCTGGCATCCACAAGATTTCCACATTGACAGAAAAGTAAATTACTGACATCAACCACAGTGTAGTAAAGTTTAAAGTTACAATCTATAATTTATACATGCCTTGAATAAGTAGAAACGAAGAGGACACTTCACAGCTTCTTCTATTCTTGAATGGAATTCCTCACCGGTAAACACCACCTATTCAACGCTACTTCTAGCGTTGCCTGTGAGGGATTTAAATACATTTAAAACAGAAGAAAAGTGAGCGAAAGACCCAGTAGGATATAATTTTTAGAAAAACTTCATAAATTAAAAATAATGTGCACGGTCTAAACATATAAGTCGGTACCAAGCATACTTTTTCTGAGAGGAAAATAAAATAAAATTTCCAGTTTCATGCATCAGCAAGTAATTTATAAGCTATGATAAATTACTTACATCAATTGCAAGGCCAAACACCACCATAGTGGCCCGTACGGATTTCGGGCCATGCTCCTAAGGATACAATCTTTATATCCCGATCTTTAGGCCATCAGCATTGTTACCATTTCTTAAAATATCTTATTTTAAGAAAAATATCCGTTAAACCTTAATTCAGTTCATTATGAATTTAATAGCATAAATCATACTATTTCCTCAAAATACTTTTCTTTATAAAACATGTTTTGTTTTAAAAACATTTCCATAGGCCAAAACACTTTAGAACAAGGCCAACAAGGATATGGACAAGGATATCCTACCTCTTGGATACTGATTCTACGGCTAGCTTCTTGCCATCCTAGCCCTACTTGTCTTTGAAGCTCAATAATCGATCCTACCGCTAGCTTCGTCATCAAAAACCATGGTTTAGAGTTTAAACCTCACCTCAAAATAGTCTAACTTAATTATGTACAATTGTATCATACTAGCGTGCCTTGACTTAAAATCAAAGTTCATAAACAATTTCTTAATTCAAATTGTAATCTTTGAGAATCGGAATTCAATCAAGAGAAATGGAACGGAAATAAGGATTAATGTGGCTAATCCATTCACTTTGAGATCCCAAATGAAGTTGATTTGGTTCTCTATTAAACATTTTTAGGTCGGAATTAGTGTGCACCGATCGACCATTGACAAAGAGGTGTAACTCCACCGGTCGGCCGGTGGAGTGGTGACTGGTCGACCGGTGGGAGGCGGACAGGCCAAAGAAAATGGCCGATCCATGAGAAACGAGGCCAAATCCTATAATTTCGGATTCGATTTCAAGATATTTTCATGGGATTCATCAAAACCATGTTCCAATCACTGAATCAAGTTCAAATAATCAAAAACCCCCAAATTTCTAACATTATTTCAACCAAAAATCCATTCAAAATCAAACCAAAACCAAAAATCACCAAACTCAACTAAAAATGAGTTCCAACAAAGCTAGATCTGGAAATTTAAAGTAAGTTTTCAAAGATTTTACCTTAATATTTGCTTTGATGTTGAAAATTTCTTGAAAATCTCATTTTTGGTTTCAATCCAGTTCAAAGCTTCTTAGTTTTCCCTTAGAGAGAGAGAGACAACTTGAGAGAAAGAGGGGGAGAGAGAACGAGAGAGAGCTTAGGGAAAG